GTACTCCTGTAGTCGACCTTGTGTTGGTGAGATATGCCAACCTATTCGCCAAAGATTAGGCGAACACAAAAACGGTTATAACAAAGTGGGGAAGAATAAGGTAATCAATTTATTCAGTATAACTCTGGAAGATAGTGTAGTACTTTTATTAAAAGTAGGACTGCATTTTGCTCTTGCAAATGAAGTAAACCATTCTCTGGAAATACTTGTTAAATTAATTAGCTTATCTGATAGATTGCCTGAAGAGATAAGGAATACTATTGAAATGGACGTGATCCCCCATTTTGACCATATAATTCCGCCAAAGTAAGCTTGTCCTCTTAGTAGGGTTTCCAGATATCTGTATGGTAATAATCTGATTGTAATGAAGGCCAACAAATGTGTAGCAGTGGTAGTCGTGGGTAAGTCAAGTTATGTATAAAAGATGCTAGTTCATTTAAACGACTCTGACACATATGCCTTTACTGAAAGATCCAACAGAAAGACTTAAGATTAGGCCAAAGGATGCTCTTAAGGTATGCGTAAGTAATGGTGAAATGGAGAAGTGGAAAATGAATTCACTACTCCAGAGATATGCAAGAGCCCCCTCGGCTTACGGTCTCCCTAAGGTTCACAAGGAGGGTGTCCCCCTAAGATTAATTGTAAATAATAAACGAAGCGTGATGCTTAAAATATCACGCTTTTTCTGCATATAATGAAGGAAATCTGCCAATTTTTGGTTATTTTCAGTTAAAAATTCGTATGATTTTGTGAAATTGATTAAGCAGCAGACACTTTGAGAAGAGGATAGGATAGTAATCTTTGATGTTGCGTCTATAAATACAAACATTCCTGTCCATGGAGCTATTCAAGCTCTGATACAAACTGTGAAGGAACATCCAGAGATAACACAATGAATAAGGTTGAGTATAGTCTGCATTATTAGATTTATTACCCTATCTATGAGTGCCACATATTCCACTTTTGAGGGTATGTTATGCCAACAGACACAAGGATTAGAGATGCGATCTTGCCTGGCCCCCATCTTGGCGAACAATACTAACCCCAAATTAGATACATGGATGACTATTTTGTCATCTCGCCCCATGGGAACGAAAGTTTAGATAGTATCCTACTTTCACTCAACCAGCGTGAAAGGAACATTAGGTTTACGATATAGATGGAAGAGAATAAGTCCTAACCTGTTCTGGATGTTCTCATCATTAGAGGAAAGAGTAAGTTAGGAAGAGATGTTTATAGACTCTTTCCAAGCATAGTTACAAGACTAAGGTCGGAATTTTGTAGTCAATGATTCTCAGAAGTATGAGGCTAGCGGATTGCAAACATTTGACGGCTGACAAATATATTCGTGGAAAATAATTATTCTTTGGGCCTTATTGAGAATAATATCTCTCTACTGAGGAATACATTTTCAGACGGAAACCATTCAGTCAAAGAGAGACCGACTGAGACCTTTCCCCATGCCCTAATTTTGCTGTCATGCCTTCTCTCAAAAAAGATAGGCGAATTAGTGAAGAAGTGGAGCATAAAAACAGTAATCAAAGAAAGCCTCACACTTTCTTCTGTTATGCCATCATTTAGAGAGAAATATGACCCATGATCGAGATCCGGCTGCTACAAGATTGTTTGCTCATGTGGTCGATGTTGTGTTGGTGAGACATGCCGACCTA